CATGTTTTCCAGAGGTTTTCCCAGCTGTTTGCAGATGGGTTTGAGGCGGCTGCGATGCCAGGATTTGGGAAGAGCAGGGTGGGGGAATTTCCTCATGGGATGGGAATCTGGGATTCCCAGGAAAAGCGCCTCTCCTCCCCTCGGGAGCGATGCAGCTGCGGGAACGGCTGGAAAAGGGGAGAATCCATGGATTTGAGCGGGAAAAGAAATCCAGACCCGAACGAAAAGAGGGAGCAGCTTCCCAGTGAGGTATCCAAGATTTCCAGGTGTTCCAGCCCATCCATCCCAGTGTCCCCATCCCGACTCTGGGAGCACGGGAAACTTCCTGGCTCCCTGATTTCCTCCCTCTGGAGCTGCTCCAGCTTTTCTATTTCTGGACTCCATTCATCCCCGGCCGGCTTTCCATAAAAATTCCAGGTGCCTCCGGCCTGGCAGCTGGGAGAACCTCCAGGAGCCCATAGGAAGCGGCAAAGCCTCCGGATCCAGAGCTCCAAAATGATTATGGAATGAGGGAGCGGGGAGGTGATGTCAGCCTGGATTTCGGGTGGATAATGCATCCCTCTGTCCTGGCTCCCTCCTGCTCTTCCCGAACATTCACCACAACCACAGAGCGAGAAACTTGGGAATATTCAGGGATTTCACAGGGAGCTGCCGCTGCCTTCCCTCTATTCTGTATTCCCGGGTTTTTCCCTTTCCAGTGGTTTTGGGATACAGAGCTCCCAGCAAGGAGAACCACACATTATTCCCAGCCCAGATTCCCACGGAATTTGCTTCCCAGAGCTCCTTTAGTGTTTCCAAGTGGGAAATCCAAGCTCATCCGTTGTATCCAGTGGGATTCAGGTGAATTCCAGGTGCCGTTTCCATGTCCATCAGCGTTTCCCACCCCACCAAAGCCAGGGGGAATTTTTTCCAGCAGATTTATGGAAAAGAGCCACAGGGAATTGCCCCATGGTCCCCAAATTCCTCGGGAGCTGAGGAGGCTGGGAGCAGGCTGGAGGATAATTCATGGAATGGGAAGAGCCACCAGACCTTCCCCACATTCCTTGGCCACGGCCCCATCCCAAAGCAGGGCTGGATCCGCTCCTCATCCCAGCCCACGTTCCCGGGATCCCCCAGCTCCGGGACACCACACTCATTCCCCATCCCTGCATCCCAATCCCCATTCCCACATCCCAATCCCCATTCCCACATCCCCATCCCCACATCCCAATCCCCCCATCCCCACATCCCAATCCCCACATCCCAATCCCCATCCCCACATCCCCATCCCCACATCCCAATCCCCATCGCCACATCCCAATCCCCATCCCCACATCCCAATCCCCATTCCCACATCCCAATCCCCATCCCCGCATCCCAATCCCCATTCCCATATCCCAATCCCCATCCCCACATCCCAATCCCCATCCCTGTATCCCCATTCCCACATCCCAATCCTCATCCCAATCCCCCATCCCCACATCCCAGTCCCCATCCCAGCGGGAATTCTTTGCAGGAGCAGACACAGGAGCATTGAGCGGGGCCTGGAATGCGGCGGCGGCTGCCAGAGCCCAGGAGCTCCCGGGAAAAGCGCCAGGCCGGGAATAAGGAGCTGCAGTGTGGATCCCAGACTGGATAAACACATCCCAGCTCCCGGCTGGCATCGGGAATGAGGCCCTGACCTCCGGCTCCACTTCCCGCCGGGATAACGCCGCCTGCTCTCCCACCGGGAAAGGGAAACCGAGGCTCTTCCACGTTTTCCACGGAGAAAAAAGCAGGGAAACACCCTGGGGAGCAGCCATGGGTCCACGGAAGTGACACCTGGGATCCAAACACCATCCAAATTCCAGGCTTCCCAAATTTTTGGGCGGATATTCACTTTATAAACTCCCAAAACGGATAAATCCCTTTTTTTGTTGTTGTTGTTGGTTTTTTTCCCCCTTATCATTCATCCCGGGATCCTCCCAAAAGATTTCTCCAATATATTCATTGGAGAAATTTTTGGGAATTCCTTTACATCCCAAAAAATATTCCTGATTCTTTTCCCTCCCAAGCCTGGGAAGGAGCGGAAAGCTCCGAGTTAAGAGGGGGGAAAAGCCCGGGAAATTTTAAGTTTTGTTTCCCGGAAGACGAGGTCAGCTTTTGGCTGTTCCCGATCCAGCTTTTCCCAGAATTCCCGAAAATAAAAGGGGTTTAAGGAGGGATAAAAAAAAAAAAAAAAAAAAAATAAAAAATTGATTTTTCTGG